CCCCTCCTTCCCCCCCCCCAACTCCTTGTTCATGCAAAGTCTGTAGTAGTTGCCATTTTCAGTTTTTGAACTGGCAGTGAATTCCTTCAAGGGAAATTTACAGCGTGCAATGGTTTGGATCTCTGTGATGTTATTATTGGTTGGTACTGAAGTTCTTTTCTCTTGAAGAAATCCCAGCGTCAGCTGATTCTTTAGCCCAGCGGTACCTGCTGACAGAGGCTGGTGGAACCCCCTGTTAACCAGATTGTATTCTTTGTAATATCGCTGGCTTGAACTCTTACTTATCCGTTATGCCAGTTTTTAAGTTATTTTAAGATGATGTCCATGAGCTCTGTGCAACTACCTGTTTAATGCTTCATTATACCAGCAATTAAACTGCCGAAACTGAGCTCTTCCTGAAGCGTGTTGTATTTTTGTCACACCATCTTTCCTCATTCCCACTTCCCTGTCCTCAGCCAGGTTTAGTGTAGTGTCAAGGACAGTATCAGGACAGAGGGGCTATGTCTCCCATTTAAGATCTGTCAGGCAGGCATACGCTCAGTGATACATATATTTCATTAAAATTGTACCTATTCTTTCTCGTAGTCTTTATCCAGTGTCTCTTGCAGCACGTGTGCACACACGAAGTGTCCATGCCATCGTAAGGAAGGCAGAAGATGTATAATATTGCTTGTTGCAATATTGGCTGCTTGCATTTAGGACTGTTTCTGCTTTTAGCACGAGTCTCGTAGCAGTGGACCTCCCTCAGTATTTGTTGTGTAGACAATGTTCCATGAAGAATAACAAAATTTTTTGTATTTACATGAAAGGCCATATTCTGCAAATATAAAGATGGGTGGACCAGAATTCCACTTGGGACAGTAAGCCTTTCCAAAACAGAGCTGGGATTCAAGTGTTATCAAGTGGCTTGAGGTTATTTGGGTTTGATGTTTATTTTCCAAATTTGCCTTGCTATCTTTCTGAAATTGGATGTAACACAGTCTCTAATTAGCCAAGGTAGATTTGAATGGTCCTACTTGATGAGGTTTTCTTAACATGAGAAGTACTCATGGTTGTGGAATCTGTTATCATCTCTAACGATTATCCTATGTTAACCTGTGTCACCAATTAGTGGCCTCCTACTCCAGAAAAGTACTTCCACATAAATACAGATAAATTTCCTAAGTCTGTTCCCGTTAATACTTGGGCTCCTTTGCCTCAGCATTTCAGAATGGAGATCAGAGTGACATCCTTCCTGCATCTGGACAGCAACCCTCCCTTGCTGAATGTGGAAAAGGCCTTGTTTCAGCTACTAAGGTTCTTGACATGCTTAGAGAGTAAGGTAAAATGTACCATCTCAGAGACTTAACCATCTCTGTTTTTTCTCTTCAGAATTTCCTTGCCCCTACTTGCCTTTTAAATGGATGGTGTATTGACTTGTAAAAGTGGAAAAACTTGCAGCTCAGCTACATGTAGATTAGTGATTTTTTTTTTTTAATAGCACTTTTTCTGGTAGGAGTTGAAGATACCACTGAGAGGGTGTTCAGGAAAAGAATGTTGATGTTATGATCTGCTCTGCCTAAGAAAAAGACTGGTAATGGTTATTTGATAATAGCTATTCCGGATTCTGGAAAATTACTCGTTTTTTGAGAGGCATAATTTATACTTTATAAAATTGTTTAGAGTATGGTTCTGATGGGTAATTGTGATGGTATAATTATTTTAGTGAACTTTTTCCCATATTGGTACCACCTTGTTTGCAGTATTTGATAACTTGAAAACTTGGTGTTTTGAGAAGTGAAGGGCTTTCACTTGAATGACAAAGTGGCAAAGCTTTCTAGTTATGAATAAGCATCTCATATGCTAAAGAGAACTGAAGTTTAGCTGTGGTTGTTCAGTTCTGGCATCATTGGTACTTGCACACAAGGGTATTTTCATAGGGTCATAGACTCACAGAATAGCAGGTTGGAAGGGACCTCAAGGATCATCTGGTCCAACCTTTCTTGGCAAAAGCACGGTCTAGACAAGATGGCCCAGCACCCTGTCCAGCCGAATCCTAAGTGTCCAATGTTGGGGAATCCACCAGTTCCCTGGGGAGATTATTCCAATGGCTGATTGTTGTCTTTGTGAAAAATTTTCCTCTTGTGTCCAATCGGAATCTGCCCGGGAGTAACTTATCCCCATTACCCCTCGTCTTTTCCATGTGACGCCTTGTAAAAAGGGAGTCTCCATCTTCTTTGTAGCCACCCTTTAAATACTGGAACATGGCGATAAGGCCTCCCCTAAGCCTTCTTTTCTCAAGGCTGAACAAACCCAGCGTAGTGAGGGCCAAAACTGAACACAGTATTCCAGGTGTGGCCTGACAAGCGCCGAGTAGAGTGGGATAATGACGTCTTTATCTCTGCTGCTGATGCCCTTGTTGATGCAACCCAGCGTCCTGTTGGCTTTCTTCGCTGCAGCAGCACACTGTTTGCTCATATTGAGCCTGTTGTCCACCAGGACCCCCAGGTCCCTTTCCACAGAGCTGCTCCCCAGCCGGGTAGATCTCAGCCTGTGCTGCACTCCTGGATTATGTTCTCCCAGGTGCAAGACCTTACACTTGTCCTTGTTGAACTTCCTAAGGTTCCTGTTAGCCCGCTCTTCCAGCCTGTCCAGGTCTTCCTGCAGGGTGGCTCTCCTTTCCAAAGTGTGAGCAATTCCTTTGCTTAGGTGTTGCAAATGACCAGTGTTTTAATATGCATATAGATCTGTGTTGATATATGCTTTAAAAAAACCCCAACCACTAAATTGCTAATACTGGTACTGTTTTACTTGAGATTTTCTTTTTCTTTAGTTTACGGTGGTATCAGCATCCTACTGAAGAAGAACTACGGATTCTTGCAGGGAAACAAAGAGGGAAGACCAAAAAAGATAGGTAAATACTTGTTTTAAGATTTTTTCTTTTTTTCTTTTCCCCCAGCATGATCCATATAATAACTTTGCCAGCCAACTTTTAGTTTTGTGTGAGTTAAAAACTGCTAGTTCCATATGACTGCCTTGCTTGCATTAATTGTCACAGCTCCGTACCGAACTGTGTTCTTTCGGTTTAACAGAGAATTGAATATGCCCAAACTGTGCAGGACTGGATGATTTCCACTCCACAAAATTGGTCTGTGAAATTGCTAATTTGGTGGCAAGGAAGTTTTTTAGTGAATATATTAATTTGGATGAAAACTGAGGAAAGCAGATTCTTCTATAGGATTGAAGCTTTTCATCTTGAAGCAAGAGAAGAAAGATTTGAGTATATTAGTTCAACATAGGATTACTATGAACCACCACTCTTAGACAGCTGTGAGGAAGGTAAATGTGCTCCTAGGATGTATTAGGTGAGGTATTTCTAGTAGAAGAGAGAGGGAGATTAATCCTCTTGGACGAGGCACCGATGTAGAACTTTATCTGGATTACTGCGTACAGTTCTGATCACTCATGTTCAAGAAAAATGGATTTGTATGTGAACAGGTGAACAGAGGGCTGCTAGGATCATCCAGGAAACAGAAAGTCTGTCTTAAAAGAGGACGCTAAAAGAGCTTGGCTTGTTTAACGTAGCAAAAAGACGACAGAGGGATGGGATAGCTGTCTGTCAGCTTAAGGCAGAAACAGATTTCTGACGTTCAGGCATGAAGTTCTGGAACAGCCTTCCAGAAGTACAACTGTGGCAAGAACCAAGACATCTTGAGGTGGTGGAGCTGCTATGTTGATGCAAGATTTCTGAATTGGCTATGTTTAAAACAAACCAACCCCTCTGGCTTTCTTTTTGGTGACATAGGAGCTTTCCTTTAATCCTTTTTCTTTTATTCCAGAATGAATTTTCTTATAATCCACAAACTGCACATATGATCTGTTCATTGTAATATGATTTTTTTTTCTGTTTCGTAGTTCTTAAGCTACATGGTTAGCAACCTTATTTGCCACACCTTGGGGTAAAGAATTAAGTTGTTCCTTTAATATTAAATAACTTTAATTTTACATGTTTGTTGCAATATTGTTTCAAATTCAGAAACTAATTTTACCTAACAGTTTTCTGTAACAAATTGAGGCAAAATAATTGTGAATAGCATTACAATTAATAACTGTCCATTTAACCAGTAATATTTATTCATATATAAAATTAACTTTAAATGCATAACTATAGCTTTAAGTCCACCCATAGGAGCCTTAAACAGAAAAACACAATTGCATTGCCAAGTAATAATTGTACATTGCTCTTACTGCCTTTCCTCAGTCTTGCCAGTCTTTTGCCATCCAAAACATGTGTGTTCTCACTTTCACCAGAGCAATTACATGCTCTCAGCTGAGTGGAAGCATGGCATGTTAATGTGTACTGACATATAAGCTTAAATTTTGTAATCTTTGGAAAATTTTCTGTGAAATTTAGTAGGAACCTGTATCACAAGTCACCTATATATGCATTAAGTCCTTTTTCAGTTAGTAAACTTCTACATTTAATGTTGCAAATGTGATGCTATGTTTTCATGTCTGTGCAGTCAAATTTTGTTGGTGTGATTTAGTTATTATGATTGATATAATTATCTTACTATATTAACATGCAAATTGTAATAGTTGTAGGTAGTCGTTTGTACTAGGGTAAATGTTAATCACAGGGGGATATGAAACTTCAAAAGAAACCAGGATGGTAATGTGGAGGCTTAAATGATGCTTTCTTTGCTTTGCTGTTGTAACAACAGAATGAATAATACATTCACTTTTTAGTCAATAACTACACCTCTGTGTCCTCTAAAGAAGTGGCTGTTGTTGGAGGAGAACCGTAGTTTAAAGTAGGAATTGCTCCTATTGAGTTGGTTTGGAGGTACCGTTCTAGGTTGGACAAAACGGAATGCAGTGCTCCTTTGAGCCAGGGAGATGTGAAACAGATGGTGTAGGAGAAATAAGGATGCATCTATGTGATTTTCCCCAAGACTTTTCAAGATAAAGAATTTGCTTTGTCAAGCCCATAGTCTTGCAAAATGTAGTACCTGCTCCTTACTTAAATACTTTTCCAATTTGAACTAATTAAAAGAGAAATGGCAGAAGGAGATCCAAGGAACTTGCTTGAAAATGAGCCTTAGAAGTAGCTGTAGTGTGAATTTGTAGTCTATTTTATTCAATGCATATTACACTTCAGTATATTATGCTATAGGTTATAATAGTGCATGAATATTAGGCAGATTTTCTATTTCAGAATAGTTTGTGTTACGTTAAGTTGTTAGGCTAATGAAAAGGTCCATAGCTGCTATTAATTACTTTGAATTAAAGCTGTCAATGATCCTGGGTATGTTCTGACTGTGTCTCTTGGATTATGGGTCCCCTGGGGTAATTAAAGTGCAGGGACACCAAATTTTGTTGAGCTGAAATGGCTTCAGTTATCAAAACGCTCATCTTACTCAAGATGATGGTACTCCTGGGTGTGTGCAGTAGGAAAACATCAAGAGTACAACTGGGGGCAGGGAAGCAGCCAGAAGCTTGCTGGGAAGCCCAGTGTCTGGGCAGTGTTTGGGACTTCTTGTTTAGACTTGAGCACCTGAATTTTTTCAGTCATGCTTTAGATTTCTATCCTGAGTTTTCAGTTCGTCCATTAAAATTCTTGTGCTTCAGATGATACTGAGAATTAATATCACCTGAAAAAAATAATATTTATTAACGCTTTCTGCTTGTATACTCATCTCACAGGTTAGCTGAGAGGACATCATTCCTTAAAAATAAGTTCATGATTGATTTAATTTCTTTTTAATGCTTATATGTCCCAATAACTTGTCTTTCTATAGAAAATCCACCTCTCCTTTTCTAATTTCAGAGGTGCTATTCTAAAATCTGGCAGAGTTTACTGTTTCCTTCTAGCCATTTAGGGGTTTTAAGCTTTGGTTTTGATTTTTTTTTTTTTTTTTTTACCCTAACAAAACATTTTCTGATCTGCTTTAATGACTTTTTTTTTTAATAGTGATGAGGTAAGTTTTACCCTAGTTAGTAATGGTAGTCTCTCAGCCCAATTTCATGTAACTTGACTTTGTTCAGGTTCTTTTAAGAGGATCCTGTTTTCCTAAATTTAAAGTCTAGTAGTGTGGCTTATTTTCAGGAGAGTGAAGACCATGATGTTGGCATAATTTCAGAGCTCCAGATGAAAATGTGGCTTTTAGTCTAAATATGTAATCTTTTATGGTCTTTACACGTATCTCTGCTGTGAAAAATGAGTTCCTTAAAGACGTGTTAGTTCTAAGCAACAATTTGGAAAACATAGGCTAACTTCATGTTATACGTATAAGACAGATTTTGTTCATACCGTATTTCAAAGATGATTCAAAGAAGATTTCAGTAGAACTGGAAAAGGGGAGCGATGGTGGCTAGAAGAAAGGCTTCCACACAAGGAGGAGAGGTGTAAGGCTTACTAGTCTGGGAGCCGGCTGAGGGAGGGTTTTGCAGCAGGTACATATCCAGTGTGCATAGAGGATGGATAGGGGGTAGTAAGCTTACTACTATGTTATACAAGGAGGCAACGAATGACGTTAGTAGAGTAGATTTAAGGACTTCTCAATTTGGAACATACATTGTGGAACTTGGTGCCACAAGACACTACGCAGCTCAACAAATTTCAGACTGGTTCAGAAAGGGATTAGGCAAATTCATGTAAGTTTTGAAAAATGGTTTCAGAAGATGCAATCCCTGGCTGAGATTATCCCCAAGTTGCTTAATGCTGGAAGCCAGGAAGAGTTTAGCAGTGTGAGTATCAACCTTTGGTTGCCTCATTCCTTCCATTTGTATACGCAAGTAGCCCCCTGTATGATAGCAGCAAATGAATCTGCGTGTTACTCTTTATGAAGCCCCCCTGTATCCCTGTCATGCTCTGCAGCAATGGCTAAAACCTGGAACACAGCTTTGAACCTGGTGCTGTATCGCCATGTACTTAGCCTTGTCTGTCTCCCCAAAGAGAGCACGATGGATTATTTCTTTTCAAGATGTACTGGATCTCCAGGATTGCTAGTAATACTGCGATAATTTTTTTTTTTCTTTTCTTGTTTTCATAAGCAGGGTATGAATTGAAACAAGTCTGTAGTATTTCTACACATACCCTTTTAGATTAGAAAACTATCTTAAAATTGTCTTTGCTTGATGGTTAGTAGGATGGATCTTTCAAGGATCTAGGTTAGTCCAGCTCATGTAACGTACTTGCTAAGTACGCTGTTGTGACAAAAAGGCCTAATGCTTTTTTGGGGAATTTGTTTTTTACTTTTTTCCTTATCAGCTGTCTTCCAAGATAGATTACTGCTTGTTGTTATTTCGAGTGAACGTTCAATAAATTAACACTGCCAGGTCTGTCTGTCTTTTTTTACTTACTTTCAATCCAAAGACTTTAACACTCCTGTCTTTCAGCATCCTGGTCTAGACCTCAATTGAAAAGTCTCAGTTTAGCTTTGATTTTCTTCAGGGTATCTGTATGGCAGGGTGGATATATTCTGCTCGGTAGCTGTACTCGTATCGCTAACCTTTTGAGACTGTGGGAACTGACTAGAACACACTGTAGCTCCCTGAACAGAGAGAATCAGTGGGTTGAAGTAAATACTGGCCACCGCATCTTGCCCTAATACATGCTCAGGATGCAGCGTATAGAAGCCATTTAAACCCATACCACAGTAGTATGTCAGAGACTTGCAAGATAAAGCTAGGAATCAGTGACGTACCTGCTTGTTTCTCAAGATTTGAACTTGAATTAATGCTTTTAGCTAGCTAGGTAAAAATGTTTGCATTTGGCAAAAAAGTGGTCTGCACTTTCCTTAAATTTGAAATGCTATTATATATTGAAAAAGTTTACTTTGTCATATCCATGTGTGTATTATCTATTTATTTATTTTTACAGAAAATATAATGGTCATATTGAAAACAAACCCCTAACCATTCCAAAAGACATTGATCTTCATCTGGAAACAAAATCTGTGACTGAAAGGGACACTATTGGTAAGAAGTAGTGGATGCAGACGATAATATATTATTTCAAATATATCCTGATACTTTCTATCAAGTGTTTATTTGCAATGAATGCTGGTATCTTTTTTTTTATAGACAATGAATGAATAGAAGTACAACTGATAATAAAGTTAAATGAGAAGGCAAGAATTACGGCTAAGTCTCCTTTGTTGTTCCATGGGTGACATCTTAATAGCAGCGTTATGGAAAAGGATGAGTAGGTGAAATCCAGCATAAAGCACATCTATTGTTGTATCAGGCATCCATAGCAATATGAGATAACACCGAAAGGATCACATCATAGGCTATTTGAAATAGACATCATAGCTTTGTAGAAGAAAATGACAATTGGCAGATGTCGAAACATATACCTTCTGCTCATCTAAATGCTGTAGCATTGAAACCTAGACTTTTCAATCACACATCTGAAACATTGAGGTAAAATGCTTAGAAGCCGAAAGTGACAGTACAGAAATAAGCAGCATTAAGTGTTTTGGAAGTTGCTATTTTTTTAAATGGTAATTTTTGATTCCTTAATCATAACCAGTCATTCTGTTACAGAAGACTCGTGTATGGATATGTATGTATATGTGATACGTGTTTTCTTCCTATCTTTCTTCCTATCTACATTTTTATATGCATGTGTTCCTATGCATAAATATAGAAAGAAGGGAAGCATAGTCCTATGCAGGAGATTTCTCAGCTTAAATTATCGGAGGCAGTGTAGAAAATACCTTTAACAGAAATGCAGTTTTTTGAAGCTGACACATAAATAAACAAAGCATTCACAAGTTTCAGTTAGTGTTATTTGCTTGAAATTATAGGGTTTAGCTGTCTCCCTGAGTATTTATAGATACTGATACAGTGTAGGGTTTAACTGTCTTTAAAAAGTTACGTATATAAACTTTTGTTGAATCTAACCAGGTGGTTATTTCAAAATAAGTACAGGACTCGGAAATACCTGGGTTTGGCCAATTTCATGTTTGGCATGAGGTAGCTTGTAGTCAACAGACAAATGCTCAGTAATGTGTTGTGACTTTTTAACCGTGTAGATGTCGGGAAGGTGTTTGGGAGGGGGAGGGACCGGCTGCACTTCATTGTCACAAATTGTTCCTTGCAGTTCCCAGCACCTATGGGAGTTCTCTCTTTGTAAATCACCCAACCTGCATGCAACACAGTATGATCCCCGGAATTTTTGTAGTGGAATTTACACAATGATTTATTGCTGTACAGGAGATACTAACAAAATCTGGAAGAACAAACCATTAGTATCTTAGATGTTGTTTTTTTAAAGAAAAAGAGGAAGTGGTTATATGTAGTGTTTTAAATGATTGCCAATGAGCTTTTAATCTTTAACAGAGAGTCAAAAAAACTCTTACCTGGAATTGCAGCTAGCCTCAACCAGAGAACCATTTTCTGTTGTGATGTTGAGATCTAAATTGTGCTGAATTTAAAAAGCTCTGAATGTGCTTTTTGAATTTAGGATGTTAATGTATAAAAGCTGAGATTACAAAATAGTAACATCTTGTAGCCTTACAAATTTGAGTAGTAATCAAGTATTGAATAACAGAAGTGAAGAGTGAAGTTCAGGTTGTTGAGTGGAAAAAATGTGGCGCTTTTGCTCTTGTTGCTCTTCACTTGGATGATCTGTGTCTACCTAGACCTCAGTTAATTGAAAACATTTTTTAATTGTCACTCCATTCTATATATGTCAGTAACTGCCTTAAAATACCACACCTTTAACATTTGCAAACTTGTATTTTTCAGCATTGCATTATTTTCCGGAATATCAGTGGTTGGTGGATTTCACTGTTGCGGCTACAGTTGTGTACGTGGTGACGGAAGCCTATTACAGTATTGTGAAGCCCTCACAAGAAATGAATATCAGCGTGGTGTGGTGCCTGCTTGTCTTGGCTTTTGCAGTGTATCCTTTTCTGTTTTCTTAAATCGCTCTGTCTGTTCCAAATAGTTTACATCATTCTGCAATTCATATAAAGCTCGGTATTGTTGATTGGCAGGATACACAAATATCTGGCATTTGGAAAAAGGATCGTGTAAGCTAGTGCCTTTGGTGGGTAATGTATATGCTGTACATGCTTTTTGTACATCCTGATACCAATAGCTTGTTGACATTAATACCAAACCATTTATGGAAAAAATGCATCTATGTGAACATACAGTTATTGCTCATCTGTAGTATGTAGTGGTTCTAAACTAATTTGGTTTTGCCCAGTTTGGCAATCAGAAATAGATTTCTGTACAGAAAGTAGTTACAACTTTTGGAGAAATGTGCAGTTTACCGCACACTTTGTTTTCAGTATGTTTAATCTGATATTTCCTGAACAAAATAGTACAGTAATGTGTATACTAATTTATTGCAAAGATACATGCATGAATTCATAATTTTAAAATACATTCAAGACACTTTTACAAAGTTTACAGAAAATAAAATGTGTAGACAGTTGTAAGAGTCGAGTTGGTATGTTTTCAAAGCTCTCTGAAAAGCTGAACACCCCTCTGAAACTGAGGGAAACAAAAGCGGAGTATTTAGGAAACAGGCAATATCAAACCATAAAAAGAAGCAGCTGTTATGTATGTTTTTACTGGAGGAGGCAATATCAGACATGGATGCTTGCACGGTAATTAACTACTTTCCACATACCAATCCAGATGTACACTTTAGGGAGGAAAGTTGCCTTTTAAAGACGTGATAGGTGATAAAGCAGTGGAATTGAATAACCTGCAAGAGTGCAGGTTATGGAAAGGTGAGTTAGAAAATGAATTTCTGCAACTCCTCTGCTCCCTCAACAGCTGACAACCAGATAAAGTGCTAAGTTAGGGTCGATATAGCACTTAAATATTCAAAATTGATTGCTCTGTGTAAATGCCTGTTCTTCAATACAGATTCTTACTGTGTTGTGGGTTTTTTTGGGTTTTCTTTTTTGGTGTTAGCAATAGCCAGTGGTGTTATGTAAAACACTTGAACTCTAATGTTTGGTTATATTTGGCTAACAGTTCTGGATATGCTTAATGCTTGTCTGTACTTGATAATTATTAAAATGTGTGCTGCCTTTACGATAAGGACAGGAATTCTTTTTCTAAGTAGCCTGAAGTATAAATGATATCCAGAATTTTCCTTGTAACGAGTAAGAACTTGCTAGAAGAGGGAATCGACTCGCATTATGAAGAAAAAGACTGTCCATGGCTTGCTTCCAGACCAGGTATTTCTCCTTTGACTTGTCAGTGGGCAGATCCACAGTCCAAAAGGTGTTTTTCTAGTCTACTAGGTAGTGACAGGAAAGTCAGTGTCTGGCTTTTGTGCACCTTATAATGATATTATAGCTATATTATAGCTAATATATAGTTGTTACTGCACAGCCTTTGTTTTATTTGTTTGGGTGAAGTCAGGAATTCTAGTTTAATCTTGGCAGAGGGAAGGAGAGAGAGGCAGCTACTGCTTAAGAAATCAGAAATGAAAGCCAACACTTTTGACTCCCGTTTTGAGGATGAGGGGGAGGGTTAATAGAACTAATGGAAAAACAAGCTTCAAATACTAAAGCCACAATGGGCTCTTAAATTTATTGGTGGCAATGCCCCATTTACTTCATCTTTCAAATCTCGGGTGTAGCCAACTTAATGCTACAGTGATTGCAACTCTAGGTGAAACAGAGTTGTGAATTATATATTGTAGGAAAATCCACTGCAATAATTCATTCTAACAATGATATTTGAATACAGTCCTGATCACTGCTTTCATTTGGCCATCAATTCAAGGCAAAACCAAATGCAGAAATTAAGAAAGATTAAGTTGCCTGGCAGTGCGAGCTTTCTGTCTCAGTAGTGTGAACACGCAAGTAGCTATTAGGGTCTTTTTTTTTGATTGTTTCTTTCTCACCTGCCATTATTATATGAATTGAGCCTAAACCAGCATTTCCAGTTTTACCCTTATCTGGCTGAAGTACTTGAGATCTAATTGCACATTTGGACCTGAAGGAGATTGAAACGGATCTAGTATTCCCTGCATGTTAGAAGCACATTAGCTGTATTTTCTCACTAGCCTTCCTACCTGACTGAAAGGGAAGTAAGATCAGCTAGAATAGTATTAAAAGCAAAAGATCCTGTGCTAAAAGCTAATTTTTATTTAACAAGCTGTGAACAGTTAATTGCATGCTTTAGCATTTTTGTAACTAGGCACGTATTGTCTAAGGGACCAATATTGTTTTGAGTTTTTGGTAATAGGCAGTATACTTTAGAGAGAAAATTATTAAGGACTTCTATCAGTTTGTTGGGGTGAAAGAAAGGTTAGAGAAGTTGAAGTTTAAAATTCATGTGGCACTTACAAAAACGTATGCAAATTTGGGAAAGCCTAGAGAAGAATGACCTGATAAATTCTGGGAAATAAGAAACCTCTATACAAGTGTAAGCTTGTGTAAGTATAATTACTTATCCAGTACTAGGTAGTTGAACAGTCATTTATTAATTCTACAAAGAAAACAAATGGTCAGAACTAGTTTTCTGCCACTTTGTGCAACTTTTATTTACTTTTTTTTTTTCTGTGGCATTAAATAGACCTTGTTTTTTATTGGAGGTTTCTGCACAGAGTAGGCAATTTTGTAGAAATTCTTATGAAGTCACTGCTTCCTAATATTGAATAGGGTTTTGCTTAATTACCTGTATGGTTCCTGGACTGATGGGATGAAGTAGTGTGATCCTGTGCAGTCTGAGGAGTTAGTGGCAATGTAGAAGACTGCAGTACCAGGAAGCACAGTCTAAACTTTATGTTAGAGTTAACATCTCCATAAATATGTTAATATAACTTATTCCAGGCATTACAACTTTTTGGGTGAAGGAGGGTGGCGCAAAGAGTGATACACAGAGGTATTGATAACAATCTTTGTGATCACTGGAACCTGGGCAGGTGAAAAGAGATTTCAGAAGAAAACTGGTTCATTCATGTGTTGTGACATCAGGCCTCTGGGATGCTGAGAATACTTCAAATCTTACACAACTATTTATTAATTTAGTATGTCAAGACCAGAAATGATTCATCATAATTTAAGTGTTAGAAAAATGTGGTTGCCTCCCTATTTTCAATTGAAAGCAATCAACGTAATAGGTCAAGAATTAATTCTAGAACAATTTTGTGTTCTGGTGACAGGTGTTTCTTCTGTTTCATGGCTGTGTGTTAAGAGGTGATAGGTTGTACTAAGGATTTGGCTGACAGAATGACCAAAAAAAGCTAAGAGAAGTTGGAAGTGATGATTGAAATTTTTTTCAGCTGTGTCTTCCAGAAATGGATATTTTGATTCAGTACAGTAAACCACTATTAGCATTTTTTTAATGTTCATAGTGTAGATATTCAGTACATAAATTTAGTATTTGAGTTCCAGTGTTAGACTATGTTGGAATTACGTTGATGGTAGTTGTGCTAGGCACAACTAAGCTAGCTTTAAACATGTTTCATAGAATCATAGAATCGTAGAATAGTTTGGGTTGGAAGGGACCTCTAAAGGTCATCTAGTCCAACCCCCCTGCCATGGGCAGGGACATCTTCAACCAGATCAGGTTGCTCAGAGCCCCGTCCAGCCTGACCTGGAATG